AGTGCACGACACCCCCGTGTCCCAGGAGGGGTGAGAGGACCGAGGGACGGGTCTGGCCACCCCGAGAAGGCAGTGCTGTGTGTCGCCGGCCGGGCAGGCCGGGCCCCGGACGAGGTGCAGACTGGGGAGGCCTGAGTGTCGGCCTGCAGTTCGCAGGGGACAGGTGTGTGGACAGGACGTGGGCCTGGGAGAGGGGTCTGTGTCCCCCAGAGCTCGCCAGGGGGCAGAAGCGACAGGACACGTGCACAGAGACTCGCTCGAGGGACTGGCCGCTGGAGACGCAGGGAGGAGCGGAGGCCGCAGCTCCTCCCTCTTCCTCGGGGCCCCCGTGTCTTCCCCTGCCTCTCACCGGCTTGGACGGGGCCCACCACGTCACGGAGCGTCGCCTGCTTTGCTCAGAGTCTGCTGATTTAAATGTTAATCTCATCTTAGGGAAAAAAACTTCACAGAAAAATCTAGACTAGCATTTGACCAAATATGTGGGCACTGTGACCTAGCCGAGGTGACACATAAAATTAACCCCCACGGCATCGACAGGCCGAGGTGAGTGTGGACGACGAGGGTGAAACCCAGGCTACCATGCACCCCCAAATCCTCGGGCTCGTGGGGGCAGCCGGGCCTCCAACAGGCGGGGCAGGACCCTGGGGCTCCCTCCAGGGCCTGGAGCCCAGCCACGGGGCCGCTACCTGGGCCTCGGACTAAAGGGCCCAGTGCCTCGGTCCCTTCCAAGTTCTGGCAGTTACAGGCAGAGCCTCTACAGATGCCCACGGGCGGGTGTCCGTGTGCACAGGCATCGTTAGCTCCTGGGGGAAACACTAAGGAGCACAAGGCTGGGTCATAGGTTAAGGGCAAGTTCAGCGTTGTAAGAAGCCACCAAACCACCTCCCACGGGCACCGCGGGTCCTGCGGCTCCAGGTCCTCCCAGCTCCTGGGGTCGGCTCTCCGGACGCTGGCCGTCCTGGGCGTGGGCGGCCTCTCCCCGTGGCTTTACTTTGCCTTTCCCTGACGACACGTGGTGTGCAGCATCTTTCCCTGTACCTTCCTGCCATGGTACGCACGTTGTGTTTAAAACTCAACACTCCGAAGGCAAGCAACCCAGCTGAACATTAGGCAAGACCCAGGCAGACACCTCGCCCAAGACGGCGCGCGGAGGGTGCGGCCCTGGGGGGGACAGTCCGGGAATGCCTCACAAAGCGAAACTACCAGATGCGAGCTTTGCGATACTTTTCTCCCATCTGCGGCTTGTTTTTCTAATCCTCCCGAGGTGTCATGTCAACTTCTCTCATCAGATTTTCCTCTCACGGACGGTGCTGTCGGTGCTGTATGAGTGTTCTTTTTGAAGTTTATTTCTTTTTTTATGAATCCTCACCCGAGGATGTGTTGTTCATTGATGAGAGAAAGGGAGAGAGCGAGAGCAAGACATCGATGTGAGAAACATCGATCCGTTGAGTCGAACCCAGAAACTTGGTGCTTGGTGTGACACGCTGACCACCGAGCCACCCGCCGGGGCTGACCTTTCTGTCCTAAAGCGCCCGGTTCCCCGGCTCTTTGACGGCCTCCCCTCCCCGGAGGGGGAGCCGCTCCTGAGCCAGCCCCGCCCCAGCGTCAGCCGCCCCCCGGTAGGGACACCGGCACGGCCGCCCCGCCCACCCCGTGGGTGGCAGAGTTCACTGGCAGGTGTGCGGGCTCTGCATCACAGACTCGCCTTCCTTCATGGGGTTCTCAGGACTTTCTCTTTCATCTTGTGCCACTTCTCGTAAGTCACATGTTCCCCAAAATTGTCCATTTCACCTAAATGTTCAAGTTCATGGGTGGGAGTTGCCCCTCGAAGTCTGCGAGGGTCTGGGGGCCTGGGTGTCCCTCCTCACTGCTGGCCTTGGGAGCTGTGTTTGCTTTGGTCACTTTGAGATCAGCCTCATCGGGGGTATTGATGTCACTGCTTCCCAAGCCCAGCTCTGGCCTGCATCCCCTCCCGTGGGGACTGGCCTGCCCCGCCGGCTCCGCTCCGGTCTTCCTTCTGCTTCCTCCGGGCCCAGCTTGCTGCCCGTGCCCCGCGAGAGCAGCGGCTGGCCCCCCGCCTCTGACCGCAGGCGGGCGTCCCCCTGGGCTCCCGGCTTCAGCGTCGGCCCCCACACCGTGCACAGCGTTCGCGCGGGTAATTTCGGAATCTTTTCCACTTCCCACTCACTATGGCTTCTCTGAACCGTGAGTTATTTAGAACAGTGTCTCTGAGTTCTCGAACACATGAGGATGTTTAGTTATCCTTTGTGTTTTCTCCTGGCTCCACGTCGCTGTGGCTGTGGCGCCTTTGGAGTCAGCGGGGACTTGCTTGTAAGATCCGACCCAAGTCCACCTGTGCGTCTGGGTGTGCCTCCTGCTGGGGTCCGCGCAGCGGAGCTTACCTGGCAAGGCGGCCACACCGGCCCTGCCCCTGCCCCTGCCCCTGCCGGCGCTCCTGCTGCCTGCTCTCCGTCGGCCCCCGAGGCTCGGGTCTGAGCCTTGCCACTTGGCCTACTTGCCCCAGGGGCCTGTCCACCTGATTGCACTTTCTGATGCTGCATATCAGATATACACAGGCTTAACAGCATTTTGATTTCCTGTCGTCAGCGCCGGTGATTTCTGGCCGCAAGGTCCTTGCCTGATGGAAGCACAGCGCCCCCAGCTGTCCGCCGACAGGCTCACGGGCTGGCTTCCCCGCAGCCTTCAGCCCCGCTCTCCCGACCCTCGCCTTCCTCGCCTTCCTCGCCTTCCTCGCCTTCCTCGCCCTCGGCGGGGCCCAGCTGGGACTGCGTCGGCGGGGTTTGCCGCTGCCGCTCTGCTCTCCGACACCACCATCGTGTCAGTTCACACCAGTGCGATTCTGACGCGTGTGTTTCCATTGGCTTCTTGATATTTGCTTTTTCTTTACCTGAGCATTTCGACGGGTTATTTCCTCTCATTCCTTGTCTTTTTTCAACTGACCACTTCCTACCTTATCTCCCCATTTGTCGCCACTACTAATTTGGGGATTATGCAGTTTTTCTAGCCTCCCAGCATTCGCCCCGGAGGTCCCAGCCTCGGACAACAGGAGTGGGCGCGTCCCCCTCCTTGGGCAGGACGGGGGTCTCTGAGCTCTGCCGTCCCCGTTGCCGCCCCTCGGCTCCGTGCTGGTCTCACTCCGAGTACGCACGGCTGGAACCACGGCGCTCACCCGCCGGCCCCCGCGGGCCCCCGAGGAGCTCAGGCAGCGGCTGTCCCAGGGAGTGGGCACCCTTCCCCCGGCCCCCGCCCTTCCTCGGCGAGCCTGCTGGGGACGGGCGGCCGGTCTTGCTTCTGGGAGAAATCCACCATCCTCCCTCCACCCTGGAAGAACAGTTCTGCAGGCACAGAATTCCAGGTTGGTGGCCACTTTCTGTCGGCACTTCTTGGAGGGCCACACCGTTGCTCCCCCGTTTCCGTGGTTTCTGGTGAGAAGTCAGATTCCACCCAAATGTTGCCCTAAATGGGGCACCTCAACGATAGGTGGTCATTCTCTCCCGGCTCTGCAGGCCAGAGTCACCCCGGAGTCACCCGGGCACCCCAGGTGCTCCGCCGGGCCTCTGCCTCCACCTTCAGCGCCTCCTGCCCACCCAGGGCCCTTCCCGTCTCTTATAAGGGTGCCCCCGCCTGGCAGGACCCACCCCCCGCCAGGGCGCCTCATCTCCGTCCTCCTGATCGCGTCTGCGAAGAGCCTGTCTGAGCACGCCACAGTCTGAGGCTCCGGGTGGAGGTGACATGGGGGCGTTGCCCGCCCAGACCAGAACCCAGTGACGGGGCCCGGACTGAGCACGCCTGTCGGCCTGTGCCCCCACAAAGCCCCCACCCCCACCCCACCCCACCTGTGCTGGTTCAGATTTTAAAAGGGAAGACCTGAGCTACTGCGGACGAGCTGTGCCCCAGGGCTAGGGGGCAGGGGTGGGCGGCCTGAGGGGCATCACTGGGGGGTGCGGGCCGGCACGGGGCTCTGAGGGGCCCCAGATTCAGGCTCCCGTCCTGCCACTGCCTGAAGCCCAGCCGCGACCCCCGAGAAGCGGCCCCCTTCTCAGGGAACTGAGGAGGAGGGTGCACGACAGGGGTCGCCCTGCTCCCGTGGGGACTGGCCACCCTGAGTGCCCTGGGCAGCCACGGGCCCGGGCGTGGGGGGCTCCAAGGCTTCCTGGGCGCCCCCTCTTGGGCAGGGCAGCTGGCAGGGGCCTGGTGAGGGATGACGCCCAGGGACCCGGGGGTGGGGCATGCGTGGCAGCTGCCCGGCGCCCGACAGGCAGGAAGCGCTTGTGCTGAAACACGGCGGAGTCCGCTTCAAGGAAGAAAAAGTCGGAAAGAAGCCCCAGAGGATCGGCGTGGCTGTGGCCAGGGCAGGGACCTAGGTGGGGTCATTTTCATTCCTTCTTTATAGTTTCCTACATACCCCAGACTCTCTCCAGGGAGCGTATTTCATTTTTATAACCAGGAAAGAAGAAGAAAAGGGTGCTTCTGGGGGGGTGGGGGGGACAGGTCCTGGGCAGCGACCCTGCCTGCGGCCCTCCGGCGGGAAACACAGAGGCAGGGGCCGCCATCACAGACCGCAGACCGACCCGGGGCCACCCCGGGGCCAGCTTTCCCTGGCCTCATCCTGCCCCCACCTGCAACGCCCTGGCTTTGGGGGGTTTGGCCAAGGGGCCTGGGGGGACACTGGTGCCTCGGGATTGGGGGCACAGTGGTCAGAGGAGTGGGCCAGAGACCTGGGGCCTCCCCGGGGCTTTGGCAAGGAAAGAACTCAAGAGAAACAAGCGTCCCTGGACAGCAGGTCGCAGCCCCTTTATTTCCCATCGGAAGCTGGAGGGCAGAGCGGGACTGGAGAGCCAGGGGCCAGCAGGGCGAGGCGAGGCGCCTGCGCCGGTCCCAGGGCCCCGAGTGGCCCGCACCCGCGCCCCACCGCCCGCCCCGGGGGCTCCGAGCCCACCTCCCTTCAAGCAGAGACACATCCCTGCTTGAAGCCCAGCCCTGCTGATCTGAAAGTATTAAAACTGAGCCTCCGTGTCTTTGCACGGGGTCCTTCACGAACACCCCCCCGCCCAAGACGCTGCGTGAAGAAGCCAAGGGGCGAAGGCGCCTCTGGCAGGGGGTGGGGTGCCCCAGAGTTCTATCCAGGCCTCTGGGCACCCGGGCCAGGCCTAGTGGGAGGGCTCCTCAGGAGGGCCAGCACTGGGCCCGAGGCTTGCCCCCCGGGCCGCGCGGCCCGGGGCCTGCAGGCACGTTCTGCAGGACCTGGCGCAGGGAGAACACGCAGAAGGAGATCTCCTCGTAGGACACCCTGACTCCACTCTCGTACACACAGGCGAAGGTCAGGGCGCCCTCCGGGGTCGGCCCGATGTACGCCAGGTCCGAATAGCCACTGGGGCCCTGGTAGATCACCCAGGGCTCTGTCCAGCTGTGGGGGTCCAGGGGGGACCTATTCAGACGGACACCCATATGCAGCCGAGCCCTGCGCCCCGCCGGGTGGGAATACAGCAGCCACGTGGGGCTCTGAGCCAAGGTGGCAGGGGGGCTGGGGCGCTGGGGAGCCCAGTCCCTCCTGTCCCCATGGAACCCAGGCCCCGGACGAGGCCCCCTGGGACCAGGGTCCCCTGGGCCATGCCCACACTTCTCTGTCCTGCCCAGCCCCCCACCCCCTCGGGTGTCTCCGGAGCCCTCTTTGGGGGGCTCCTGGGCTCCAGCATAGAGGTTCAAAGGAAAGGAGGTCACCCTGGAGCCCTCTGGCCACCCCTCGTCGCCAGGACCGCTGGGGGGTGGGGCTGGGAAGCCCAGGATGCTGCCCTGGCAGCCCCGAGCGGTCTCGGGCAGGGCGCGCACCAGCTCTCCCGGCAAGAAGGAGGTGCCGTCATCCGTGCTGAGGGCCTGCACGCGGCTGCCCAGGGGGCTCCGGGCGTTGCAGTAGAGGACGCTGCCAGCCCACCCTCCGTCCACCACAGCCAGCTGGCACTCGCCCGAGCGCAGGTTGGGCACGAGGCCGCCGTGGCACCAGGTCTGGCCGTGGTCGTCGCTGTAGAAGGCAAAGGCGTGGGGGCTGGTCCTGCAGATCCTGCCAAAGCACTCACGCCGGTCCACGCGGTAGGTGTAGGCCGGCACCAGCAGGCGGCCCGAGGGCAGCTGGATGCCGTGGCCGGGGCCCACAGCAAACGTGGCCCAGTCTGCAGACGGGAAGGGACAGCCGGGGCCACGGGGGGCGGGGGGGCGGTTTGTGAGGGAGCCACCTGCTGACCCGGCCTCCGCCCCCCTGGCTTCTGGCCACCCCGAGTCCCCCAGGGCTGCACAGGGCTCCTGCGGGCACTGGTGGGAGCGCAGAGCCCAGGCGGGCCCCTTGGCCACGCTCTCAGCACCTGCACGGGTGGCGAGTGCCCAGGCACAGGCAGACGGCCAGCCGCTGTGCCTGGTGTGAGCGCCGTCCTGACAGGGGCGGCTGAGGGGGCGGGGTGTGGCGACTTTAGGGCCAGTCTGGGCGGCCCCTCCTGCCCCTGGGCCCCAGCCCCCTGGGTGGGGTCTGCACCCACAGGTAGCTCTTTAATTGTTGCGGGTCTCAGAGCCTGCCACCTGCCGGGGCCAGGGTGGTCCCTGGGGGCAGTGGGTGGTGAGGTCCTTGGGGAGGAAAAGCCCTGAGGTGAGGTGGACCTGCCCGAGAGCCTGGGCTGAGTGTGAGGAGGAGGAGGGAGTGGTTAAGGAGGGAGTCCTTGGGGTTTGGGGGCTCAGTTTCAGACACAGCTCGGGAAGACGAAGAGCCTGTTCTTGCTGGTGAGACCAACACCCGTCTGTGGGCTCAGGGGTCAGGGATGCGACAGTCCCACAAATTGTGTCCAGGACCCTTCCGCTGGGGGCGGGGCAGATGGGGCTAGCAGCGCAGGGCCCTGGAGCCAGACCACTCCCACCTGTCACCGCTCAGGCTACACCCCACCCTGCGCAGACGCCCTGCCCCAGGTGGGGATCCCTGCGCTCTGCCCCACGCCCCGCCTACCTCGCTCAGCACCGCCCACCGCCTCCGCCGTGAGGTCCCGCACTCGGCCCCACGTGCGCCCCGCGTCCTGGCTAGTCACGCAGCAGAGGCGCGCCGCGTTCCTGCCTGTGGAGATCTGCGCAGCCTCGGGGGTTTGGCCTCGCACGGCCACGAAGAAGAGGAAGACGGTGCCGGTGCGCGCGTCGTGCACTGGACAGGGGTTCATAGACCGGTGCTGCTCCAGGGCCGCAGTGCCCAGTACCAGCGCGGCGCCCCACTGCCAGGAGGGGGAGGAGGAGGCGAGCACGGCCTTAGTTTCCCGTCAGCACTGGGCACCCCCTCCCCCACCGCGCGCCCCCTCCGGGTCACTTACCCGCACCGAGCCCCCTGCCAGCGTGCCGCGCCTCTGCACCAGGCGGTGGGCGTGCGCGTCATCAGGGCTGAGCCGCTGTTCCGCGAAGGCCAGCAGGGTGGGCCCGGGAGGCACGGGCAGCAGCGCGGGCACGCGGTAGGTCAGGCCACTCCTCTCGCTCTGGAACAGCGCCGTCCGCATGGGGACTCGCGGGGTCCCCATGCTCTGCGGGCCCAGGGCAAGCGGGTCAGCGGGCTGGGGAAAGGCACGCTCCCCTCCCCACTCCGATGGGAAAGGGGCTCTACAGGCCCAGACTCGGCCACCTACACCCGGCCGCCTTCCCACGCGCACTGCCCAGTGCCCTGTCCCAGGCTGCTTCTCAGCTACCACACCCCCAAATGCCTGGAATCTTCTTCCCCTTCCTCCTGTCAGCACAGCCCACGAAAGGGGAGCAGGGAGCCTGGCCAGAGCCGGGACCTGCCCGCCCCTGTGTCTGGGGCCAGTCAGTGCTACCTGCCTGGAAGGAGGCCAGCCAAGTGCCCCACAGGGCCCAAAGTTTTGGACAGGGAGGGGGTCAGTGTCCCCACATAGGGGCCCTGTGACCTCGGGAGCCAGCCATGCAGAGACCCAGAAACAGACAACCCGGACACAGGGGGAAACGAGACACTTAGACACGAACAGAGACACATTCGGATGCGTACACGGTGACACCGGCACACACACTCCGCACACAGGAGCACGGCGCCCTGCTGCAGCCGCCACCGCCGCCGCCGCCGCCGACCTGCTCGGCCCTGCAGAGTCCCCAGACTCGGGGACTCTGGGGAGCAGCCAGGGTGGGGGTCGCCTGCTGCAGCCAAGGGGTCCCCAGCAGGCCTGCAGAAGAGGAGCCTGAACGCCAGGCCCCAGCGGGACGTCTGCGTGGGCAGGGGACCTGCCACCCTGCCCCTCGGGCTCCTGAGCGAGACCGGGCGTCATGCACAGGTCCAGCAGAGCCACTGCCTCCTCTAGGTGCCCCCAACAGCCCCTGAGGGTGCCTCCCGAGACCCAGGGTGGGTGCAGGAACCCAGCAGTGAGAGGGGCCCCAGAGAGGCCACCACCCTGGCACCCTGCCCCTGCCCCGTCCTGGCAGACAGTTGCCCCCAGAAGGGAGGGTGGGTGCACTGAGGCACAGGTGTTGAACTCTAGAGGAGCTGCCCCCACACAGTGAAGGGAGGAAGACGAGCACACTCCGAGTCTGAGTCCTACCCTGGCTGAGCCCCGAGCAACTGGTGCGGACAGAGAAGAGCCCAGTGTGGGGGGAGGCCGGGTGGGCTTCCTGCAGTGGAGAGTTGAGACCACAGAGCTGGAGGGAGGCAATGTCCAAGACCCCCGGAGCCCTGGGGGCAGGGAGGGCCCAGTGTGCAGCACGGGTGAGGGACCCTCCTCCCACCGCCCTTCCCCATGCCCCCCTGCCCCTGGCCGTGGGCGCCTGCCCCACACAGCCCAGCTCCCGGGCAGCCTTTCTGGGGACCCAGCGTGCTCCTGAGGGAGGCTCGGAGGGCTGGGCCTCGGGGGTGAGTTTGGGGCACATGCGAGGCTGGCAGTCCCCTCAGCCGGGGGCTCCTTCCTCTGATCCGCAGCCTGGGCAGCCCCACGGGGGGACGTGGGTGAGAGTGCTGAGCCGGGCAGTGAAGGGCTGGGTGCTGCAGACAGAGGGACGGGGGGCACTAGAGTGGAGCCGCTCCACGCAGCACATCAGGAAGAAGTCGGGGTGCAGAGCAGGTGACAGGAATGAACACACACACACCCCTAGACTGGAGGAGCCTCGCTCGGACACGGGTGGGTGCACCTCCACACCTGAGGTCCCGACACAGACACCTCAGCCTCGGGCTCCCTCTGCCCAGGCCCGTGTGCTCAGCAGACGCCCGTGTGCCCACCCCACCACGGCCTCTGGGCCCCTGGAGAGCGACATCCGCGTCCTGGAAGCCCTGGGGCCCCGCCCCCACCCGCATCGGAGGGGCAGTGATGGCCAAGCAGGAAGCAGGTGTGGGTGCCACGTGCCCCTCCGGGGTGAATGGACACAGCGGGGCATTCTCTCCACTTGGCTGGCGCCCCAGGGCCTGGGGCCACAGGGAGCTGGTGTCAGGAGAAGCAGGGGACCCGCACACCCCCAGCCTGGGGACAGAGTGGTGGAGAGGGAGGCTCCCAGGACCAGCTGGTGGTCTTCCTGCTTGCTGCACAGAGCATCAGGGCAGGGCCGCGGGAGACTTGGAGCACCCTGGCTGGACCAGACCCCGAAGTTCCTGGGAGGCCCCCCTCGCAGGAGGAGGAATGGGGCCTCCCGGGCGGGCAGCCCCGCCCAGTGCGGCCAATCCAGCAGGGTCTGGGGCTCGGGCTGTGGCCAAGTGGCTCTGCCTGAGCATTAACTGAAACAGCGCCTTTATGTGGGTGTCCCTCCACCGCCCCCCAGCAGGGCCTCCTCAGGGGCGGCACACCCCGGAAGGGGAAAACGGGGCCCAGGGAGTCCACGGGACCTCCGAGAGAACCCGGTCCCCTGACCCTAGACCCGGGGCAGGGGCCTGCCCCAGCCCTGCCTGTGGCCTGTCCTGTCTGGGCCCTGGCCTGGAGCACTGCGCCGGCCAAGGGGACTGCCCCTCCGCCCCCCGGCAGCACCCCCTTCATCCTTTGGGCCTGTCACCGCGGAGCCTGCTGAGATGCTGCACGTCAGGGGCCAGGGCCCTTCGCACAGAGACCTGCGGAGGGGCTTCCCGGCCCTGCCCCCCCGACCCCCAGGGCTCCAGCCCCGCCCAAGTGCCCTGTGCTCCATCCCGACATCGACTCAATCACAGGCTCTCCCACCTGGCGGAGCGCCCCCAGGTGGGAGGGGATTTCTCACTCTGTGGACTGGGACCCGAGCCCGACACCCAGGCACACCCATCCAATCCTCTGCATCGACTCCCAGGAAACGCCCACTGGGGATCCACCCACCCGTGGCCCTCGGGCCACAGGGGGCAGCCAAAGGGGCAGCAGGGGCCGGGTCCTGGCCCTGGGCGGCTGGGACGCAGCGGGGGGGACTCACCAGGCACCGAAGGGAAGCCGCAGAGCGGGCTGAGGGGCGGCTGCAGCGCTGCCTGCCTGCCTGCCTGCCTGCCTCTCGGACCCCGTGAGCTGCCCAGGGACAAGGGCCCGCTGTGTGGGTGGGAGGCGGGCGCTGGCCTCGTCCCAGGGCCGCACCAGGACCAGGACCCTCCCGCCAGCTGTGCAGCCGTGGAGCAGCCGGGCAGCCGGGGGTGCAGGAGGGCGCTTGGGGTGGGGCCAGTGTCAGGATGGGGCCGTACAGGGCTCCTTTCTTCTGGCTGATCCATTCCCCCCCCTGCCCAGTGCTGGTGGCCTGTGGCACGGGGACCACAGCTGCCCCTACGCCTCCAGCAGAGACGCCTCTGCCCTGCTGACACCCTGCAGCCCTCCCCTTCGCCCCCAGCGTGTGGCTTCGTGGGCTCATTGGCTCCAGTCCCGCGTCAGTGCTCGGGACCCTGGCTCGGACCAGGAAGGCCAGCACCCACCCCCCCAAGCCCCGAGTACGAGCTGCCTCCCAGGGCTCCCTCCCGCCAGCTGACCCCATTCACCCTCACCCACTGCCCCATTGCTGTCCCCAGGGTGGCTTCATGGGTGACACGGCCCAGGTGACCATTGCCCAGGCCAGGCCTCAGGGAGGTGCAGCCAGTGAAAGGGCCTGCCCCTGGGCCCTGCCCCTCGTGTTCCAGACTTCAAAGGGAGAAATGGGTTCTGGGAAAACTAAGGCGTCACAGGATGTCCACACTGAAATGACAAACCTGCTGTGTCCCTTCAGGTCCCCAGCCAGCAGCGGGCGCCTGGGCAAAAGCCCAGGGGTTGACAGGGAGGGAGAGGGGGGCAGATGACACACCCCACCTTGGGAGCCCCACCGGAACCAAGAAGCGAGGACCCCTCTCATCCCCCAAGTCCAGGCCTGGCACAGTCTGGTGGGCTCAGGAGAAATGGAGCCTCCAAGCCCCCAAATTACCCGTGCAGAGACCCCCAAGCCCAGGCAGGGCCATCTAACCAGGGTGTCCCCCAGAGCCCCGGAGGAAGGAGGTGGCCCACACGCTGCTCCGCTCGGGGTTTTGACGTTTCAGTTGGAGCAGCTTTGTTCGAGCAGGAGATTTCGCGTGAAGACCTGCACCTCCAGCGTCCCTGGAAGATCAGAGGGTCTGCCTCCCGGACGTCCCCACTCCCCCAGGTACAAGCACGTGCCCGCCGGCCCCCAGCAGCCCCCCACCTGCCCCCACAGGAGTTCCGGCAGAGCCTGCCCCCAGCGCCCAGGGGCTGGGCCGGACACCAGCATGTTCAGCCTCTGGGTGGGCAACTTGGGCCGGTCGTGCCTGAGTTCTTATGACAAACCACACACACTTTCCACGGTGATAAACACCTCAAAGTTTTTCCCTCCGGAACCCGCACCAGTCCATAATCCTGCCAGCCCCTCAGGCACGAGCACGGAACGGCCCCGGTGACCCCGCCGCCTGACTCTGTGTCGCTGAGGACTGACCCTGCCTGTGGTGGCAGCTGCCAGCAGAGGCGAGGCCCCCTCCCCGGCGCAGCTGCTCTGTGCCCGGAAGCAGCGGCGGCTCCTGCTCCGCCTGGGGCCCGCGCCAGCCCAGCCGTGGCTGCTGCTCTCTCTGGGGGCTGCTGGAGCCCAGGGCACTGGGTTTGATCTCAGTCCTTCTCATCGACCACAGTTTCTGCCTCTGGCTCTAACCATCCTTCCCCCACCTGCCAGCCCATCTGGGATCTGAGCCCCCTTCTCCGTGTTCCGGAGGGGTTCCGCCGTGCCTCGCCCTCTGGGCTGGGGGCGAGTGGTCCTGCGGAGGCTCCCCAGCTCACCCTGGCTCTCTGCAGCGCCTTCTGCACTCTCTCTGTTCAGTTTTCTGGAAGTCGTTTTTTCAGTTTCCAAATATTCTCTTTTATTTTCAAATTTACTGCAATATGTCCTCTACTTTCATTAAAAACTGATTGTTTTTAAAGTTCGACCCATAAACCATTGTCCAAGAGAGCTGTGGCCTGTTCTGCTCATTTGGGGGTGCGGCAGAGAATCTCCCCCTCTTTGAAGTGCTGACTCACCTGACAAGCATGGGCACACCTGCACCCAGGAGCACCTGCAGCAGGTGCCTAGCCCAGCTGCCGGGCCCTTCCGAGCTGGGGCCCTGGTGCGAAAAGAAGGGAACCCCAGCACCGGGCAGGCAAGCCAGAGTGAGGGCAGCTCTATTTCTCCAGGAGCCCCACCTTTGGAAGGGTACAGGGCACGTGGCGCTGAGTGTGTGCACCCCACTCTGACACCGGGCCCCCAAGCAGCCAGGGACCACGTGCGGCCGGGCAGGACGTGCGCCCTCCCTCCCCACCAACGACCAGCGGAGGTGCCTGCGGGCAGCGCTCTCCTGGGACTCCATCCACCCAGGTCTCCAGAGCAGCCGAGGGCAGCCCTCCTGCAGGTGCTTCCTGCGCCGGACGCCTGGGCGGGCAGCGATCCCAACGGGGCTGTAGCGCTGACCCTCCCCCGCTCGTCTCACAAACAATTTGAGCATTTTTCAGCCTAAAACCGTTCTTCGGTGGAAACAAGTCTCCGACCGCCAAAGATGGGAAGCTGAGCGTTCCAGGCCCCAGCCCCCCGTCCGGGCTCCCTGCTCCAGCGCCGCCTCCTGAGCCGCCGGTGGCCGCGCTGGCGGGTGCAGGGAGCCGGTCCGCGCTCCGTCAGAGACCCACCCTGCTGCGCGGGGCCCCTCCGAAGCCGCCGGGTTTGCCCTTCCGAAGGGCGGCGCGCCCACACGGGTTCCCTCTGACAAGCATCGGGTTGTTGCCGGTCCATCTGCCTGGCTCTCCTGCGTTGTAAGACTTTCTTCCTTGACGAACGGGTTGGTGCCCTCCCACGTCACCTGTGCGTATTGTCCAAGGGTGGGGCCCTGGCCGAGAGGGTGGGTCACTGCTAAGTCCTCACGGTGGGGGGGGTGGGGGGGCGGGGCTCACCTGGAAGACCTGGGGTCCGGCAGGGCAGGGACTCCCGATGGCCCAGGAGCCCCGCCCCAAGCCTGAGGCCGAGCGCGCGGCCTGGACTGCAGGAGGACTGCAGAGGGGCTGGTGTCACACCGAGAGGCTACGCCTCCAGGAAGGTGATGTTCTTGGGGGGCTTTTGGGGAAACTGCAGGGAGTACAGGTGGGCCATGTACTGGAGCTCCGGCATGACCATCCTCCGGCACATGCGCAGCGTCTCGTCGTCCAGGCCCTGCCTGAGGTTGTAGCCCAAGATGTCGGCCTCGCCCGACTGGTAGGGCAGCAGCTTTCGGTCGGTGATCTGCGTCTTGTTCTTGGGCACGCTGTCCTGCAGGCACAGGCCCGTGAGCTCGCGCCGCCGCGCGCGCAGCCGCGCCACCTCCGCGCGCAGCCGCCGTGGGCCCAGCTCCGCGCGCACCGAGGCCCAGAAGGTGCGGTTGAAGTGCTGGTACAGGCGCCAGTCCAGGGCGCACCAGTGCTTGGCACGCTCCTGGCTCTCGGGCGTCAGGCTGGCGACGCTGCGCGGGCTGCGCAAGTTGAGCCTGAAGGAGACCACGTCGTCCAGCCGCCAGCGCAGCCGGTGCCGCAGGAGCACCATGGACTCGTCGAAGTGCTCCGCGATGAGCACCAGCTGGAAGCGCCGCTCCACCTCGGCCAGGCGCGCGCGCACGTAGCTTTCTGCGGCCACCGCGGCGGGGTCGAAGCCCAGGTCAAACCACATGTGGTTCCTCGCGTAGGCGTTGTTCAGGCTCTGGCTCCAGTTGTAGAAAGCGTGCGGGGCGGCCAGGAAGGCGTCCAGGCTCGGGGCGGCCCGGAAGGCGGGCACGTAGCTTCTGTAGTAGGCGAAGGAGGACTCCAGCTGAAAGACGGGGTTTCTGAGGATGGAAAAATAGAAGGTGTCGTTCGGCATCACTTTCTGCACCTGTGTGGAGACAGGAGGAGGGCTGGTGACGCTCTGGGCTTCTTCCGCAGCCCAGGGGGCAGGTGGCCTTTTCTCCACCCTGCCCACCCTGCCCAGGGCACACCGGGACCTGTGGCGCCCCTCCCGCCCCCTCCCTGCATCCCCTGAACATTCCCTGAGTGTTCGTGTTCCGGGCGACCCTGGCGGGCCTGAACCTGGCCACGCCCTTCCTCTAAACTCCCTCCACTGTCTCCACTTCCGCCCAGAAGGAAGTCAGGGAAACCCCTTAGGAGGGGATGGCCTCTCAGCTGAGACCCGAAGGACCCCCAGGAGGAGGTGTGAGGAGCCCCCGGCGAAGGGGGCAACAGAAGCGAGAGTCTCAGGTGTCGGACTCTGGGAGGCTTGGGAGCCGAGAGAAAGCAAGGGGAGAAGGAGGGGTGGCAGGTGTGGGGACGCCTGGGTCTGATTCCAAGAGCAATTGTAGGTGCCTGGGAACGGGGGGTGGGGAATGGGGTGACAGGATCTCCCGAGGGACCTCTACTAGCCCCTCCTCTAGCCAGGCACCACACACACCCCAACGACCTTAGTCTCTCCAGTGGCCAGGCCCTGACACCTTGCCAGTGGTCACACTCCAAAGCCACCAAGCGCCTCCACAGCCTGGGGCTGAGTCCCGCCCCTCCTCCCCCGCAGAGGGCCCGCCCCACGCCGCACCTCTGGCAGGTTAAACCTCAGGTGGTTGCACATGATGTTGAAGCGCCGCTGTGAGCCGTCCGGCCCGGCACCCTCCACGTAGCGTGCCAGGAAGAGCCAGGGGTAGCCCAGGTGGAACCTCGAGCCAGCAGGCAGCGCCACGGACAGGTTGTGCGTCTCGGCAAAGCGGAAGAGGATGTTGAGCACCGTGCTGCTGGCGGTCTTATGCGTCTTGAGGAACATGACGTTGGTGACGGGGTGCCCCTCAGCCCGGCCCCCAAGCAGGCTGGGAGGAGAGCATGCTGCCGTCAGGGAGGAACACCCCCACACCTACACCCCCCAGGTGGAACCCCCCCTCAGAGAGACCTCAACCCCGTGACCCTCCAACCTGCTCCTCCCGACCCCATGACCCCAAGCCCACGGACTCCCCAGACCCCACTCCCCAGACTGCTGACACCCCAGCCCCAGCCCCAGCCCCATCACTGTGGCTCCCTGACCTGGGGCGCCCCCAGCCCTGCAGCCCTGAGGAGCCCTGAGGACCCTAGCACAGACACGTTCTCTGTGAGTGGCTGCCCCATCTGCTCCCCACGTGGTGCAGGCAGGGCCCCCGGCCCTGGCACCCCCTGCAAACCCCCAAGTTCTTGTCTGGCGCCTGGCATGGCTCTGGCCCTCTGACCTGGGCCACACATCTGTCATTTCTCAGCTGGCCCTTGACATTGGGATGGGCCAACCGGACCGCAGAGCCAGAGTGGAGACTGGGGCCCACCCAGCTGTGGACTCCAGCCTAGAGCAGCCGGGCCCCAAAGCAGGGCCAGTAAGAGCGACCCAGGCTGGTAGCGGACAAGGTCTGGAGGCCTTCACTGCACCTGGGGGCCCACTTTGGCAGTCCCTTATCTCCCATGCAGAGGGGTGGGGTGGAGGCCGAGGGAGATGGCCTGGGGCCCCAAAGCCTTCCCAGCAGCCAGGTCAAACTGCTGGCCCCGTGAGGCCATCCACGTGGACCCCTTCACAGAGGGGCTACCACTGGCAGGCAGGGAGCAGGGGGTCCCGATCTCCCCAGACCCACCATGGGCCCAGCCCTGTCTCTCAGCACCCAGTCACCCTCTGCACACAGTGGCCTCCCCAAGGCCTCCCCGGCCCAGACCCACCCCCACCTCCCCAGAGCCCCCACACCCACAGACTCGCTGGGAAAGCCTTGGGGCACTTGTGGGTCCCCTGAGGAAGGACCCACCCCCCTCCCATGGAAAGGAGACTGAGGCCCCGCCGGGAGGTGGGTCCCGCCACGGTCACAGCCAGGACTGGGAGGCGGGCAGGCGGAGGCCCTGCTCTGGTTGGGAGGGGGAGCAGCGTCCAGACCACGGAGCACCCGCCGCAGCACTCACGGTGTGAGCGTGTCGGTGTCCACGCGCAGGAGGCCGGCCAGCAGCAACACGCTCAGGGTGAGGAGGAGGAGGATCCAGAAGCACCTGTGAGCAGGGGCACCAGTGAGTCCCCAGGCAGGGGACGGGGGGGGCCAGGGCCACCCACTCCACCCACCGCAGCTCAGCGTCACCCACACCACGGCTCCTGCTGAATCCCGGCTGCGTGCTGGCCTGCACGGCCCCCGGGGCCCCAGGCCACACCACCCACTGCCCAGGAGCCAGGAGAAGCCAAGAGGCAGATTTATGTCCCGAGAGGGGTCTGACGGGCACAGGCCAGAGCAGGTCAGGGGTCCGCTGGAGACCTGCCTGACTGAGACCCCTGACCCCACGCCTGCGGGGCACCTCCGGGGGGAGGCTGAGAGGTGATATTCCAGGTGTTCCGACCCCACAGAAGGGGACCCTGAGGGGGCCTCCTGGGTGCCAGGCAGTGGCCCCTGAGCTGGGACACCCAAGGACAACACTGTGATCAGATGCTGGGACCAGGGTGCCCCGTGGCGATCCTCCTGTTGCTGGTGTTCTTGCTGCACCACCTCTCGGACCTCAGGGCCAAAGTCCACAGAGCCTTTGTCCAGACCTCACCTGTCTGGGGTTTGACCCGCAGTCACCAAGAGCCCCCGCATGTCAGCACCCGCGTGCTCTGGGGTCTCTGGCACCCACTGAGGCCACAGGCTGGGGAAGAGGCCTGCAGCCCAGACACAGATGAACCGGCGGGCACACTGTCCCTGCCGCACGGCGTCAGTGTCCGTCCACACCGGGGGCGTGTGGGGGGGGGGCCTCCTGGAGCGCCGAAAGAGCCAAGACGCGTCCAGCAAAGATGCCCGGTGGAAGGAACCAGGTCGGGCCAGAGCCACGCCCCTGTGGGGAGGGGACAGCTCGGGTGGATGCCAGAGACCTGAGGGTGTGCCCAGAGGGAGCAAAGGGTGTCCTAGGGGTTGGAGGCCGGGCTGGGTGGGAGCGAGGGGAGCACCGAGTCTGGGTGCGTCGGTTTCCTCATGTGGACCCTGCACCTCTCCTTGTGCTCACTTTGATTTGCTAGTTGTTGTTGCCCTCGTAAGTGAAGTGTTTGTCCAAGGTGCAGTCCTATCACTAGAGCGGAAAAGTGTTTTTAATGTACGGTGTATCCGGCCATGTCCTGGCCACTGGTCGACTTTTGTTGCAGAACCTGCTGTCCTGGTCCTGGTGGCGTCCCTGCCACCTGGTGTGACGGGGCGCTCCGGGCTTGTCTGGCCCACTTCCTGGCCGGGCCTGGAGCCCGCCGCGCCTTCCGGGGACCCCGAGTCCTAGTGGCAGGGGCCACAGTCTGGGCCCCGGGGTGCTCGCTGCCCCGGGCCCTCTCGGTCACCAAGTGGGACTACACACACCCAGCAGAGTCCCACATGGTTTTCACCTGTGGGTTCAGCTCCAGTTCAAGACTGTGCCTTTTTTAAAGAGAAGAACTTTAAATTTTATTTTTCATTACAGTCTGCAGTCAGCAGTGTTCTGTATTCGAGTCGGGTGTGGACCCCAGGGGCGCACAACCGCACTTCGGAAGCTCCCCCCGGCCCGTTCTCCGCACCCGCGTGCAGGCAGCCGGCACGGTCCGTGCGACACTGTCCTCCGCGAGTGCTCTCCCACCCTGTGGGCACTCTGCACCTGCCAGTTTGCACTGCTTGACCCCTCCCCTCCGTCCCTCGAGACCGCAGCTGCTCACAGGAACCTCTTCCTGCCGCCTCCTGTCTCCTCTCTGCCGGGGGAGTGAGGTCTCAGAGACACGGCGCAGCGGAGCCGAGCGCCCCGAACGGGTCCCTGCCTCACGCACACTCGGGGGACACAGCACACGCAATGCACACACAAGCGCACGGAGTGTGCGCGGCACAGAGCCTGATGGGACTGTGTGCCTTGGCGTCTCTGCCCCGAGAGGCCGACTGAAGTTCAGCCTGGAGAAACTTGACAGGGCTCCAGCAGACGAGGGTTAGAACAGGCCGCGGGGGCAGCCGCTGCTCTTGTTCACGCATGATCAGTCCAGACCGAAACCGGACTGAATGCAGCGGAGGAGTTGGTCTTAATCGGCCCTGGTGACAGTGAGGGTGACTTTAGGGGAGGAAAGCGTGTTCTGGTGGAAATCGCAATGCCTGGTGGTGGGCATCAGGCTCAAACACAGGTCGTCGTCTTCCGCGTTCCCGGTTCTCGCTCCTAAACTCACCTGCGCCCCGGGCCCAGCTCCCCCGACACCCCGCACTCACGGGCGTCTCCCTGTCCTCCCACCCTCTGACTTCGGGCCGTGGGGACGAGGACTGTCTTTCCCGAGGCCGCGCACACCGCACGCCGGAGCCCCCTGGGCACCTGCTCACGCTGCAGACTGGGGGCGGGGGCTCTCAGGCCACCACCACTGGCCTCCCACTCCAGCGAAAGAACCTTCTAGCTTTCCGTCCTGAAGTCCTCTCGATGGAGTTTTACAGACTCGGGAACTGGTTTACGGTTTGCTCTAATCGCTAGCCTTTGTTTTATCTTCTGACTCCACAGGCACACTCCTTATTAACGCCCCCACTGCTTGTTTACCCAAGACCGGTCTCACCTCAGAAGAAGCTGATCTGCACGGCCCCCTCCTGACGTGAGACTCGGCAGTTTGGCTGAACTGACTTGTTGCCAGACTAGACGGTTACGTTGGTGGGGTTTCCTCTGGCAGCACAGTGATTCCGGAGCCCCCTCTTTCACGGGCTTTGAGCCGGACCCTTGAGCCTGGGACGCTCAGAGCGGCCACTGACCCCCAGCCTTGTGACAGCGGCACCAGCCACTGTCCCACCAGGCAACCCATGCCCTGGGGCTCCCCCGCGCTGCCCCAGCCTGCCTGCCTCCTCTTCACAGTGTGGTGGGACACCTGGGCCCCTCCCCACCTCGCTGGCTCCAGGGCCACAGGGAGGGGTGGGGACAGGCGGGGAGGAGGCACACAGAGGCACCAGAATCTCCCAGAAGCATGTGGGGTGAGGCAGAGAAGTAGAATGTAAAGCACTTCCAGACCACACCTGCCTCCCTCCCAGCCCCGGGGTTCCGGAGAGTGCAACCCTCCGTCCGTGGAGGGGACGGCCACCCGTCGCTCCGAGCTGGACTCCTCACAGTCACTCAGGCCCCCCAGCAAGCATCCTGAAATGCAGGTGCAGGTGACTGCCAGTGCAGAGGGGGCTTGCTGTGGGCAGGGCCGAGGGCCAGCGCAAACACAGGGGTCCAGGCCCGGGAGGGTGACAGCCAGGAGGTCTCAGCCCCCAGCTGCCTTCAGCCCAGACGCCAAACCCTCATCTGTCCCTCACCCCGAGCCCTCGTCCTCCCGAGGCCCAGGCCTGGGGGTGAGTTCCGAGAAGTGTGAGCGGGAAAGAGCCCCAAACCCCTGAGAGGTCCTTGGACGGACAGAGAACGGCTCCTTTCTGCCAGGTTCTCAGAACATCCAGGGATTGAAGAAACGCTTCGTCTCCCCTCCAGGGCCAGCCCCCACCTCACCTCCGCGAGCTGCCCAGCAGGGACAGCATGTCGGCAGGCTCCGGGCACAGACGCAGGGCAGGGGGCTCCAGGCGCCCTGCTGGCTCCCACCCCAGGGCACAGGCTGGAGGTGGCCTTGCAGATGACTCTGACTGGCAGAGAAGTTCACCTGCCCTATCAGGTGGGAAGCCACGCCTCCACCCTCACCCCAAACGGAAGGATTAACAGTGTGGGAAGGATTAGCAGTGTGATTCGAGGAAGGACTGGAGCTTCCCTCGGGCTCCAGCTGGAGTGGCACTGGGTGTGGTTCTGGGTGCAGGGCTGGCTCCTCCTCGGCCTCGCTCTTGGCTGCCTCGCCGGCCACACCAGCTCACGGGCCCACCCTGGGGTCCGTCGGAGAGGGGGGAGCGTGGACGGAGCTGGGGGCAGCCCCCAGACCCAAACGCAGGAGGTGCGAATGTCCGGGTGCGAAATGGAGACAGTCAGCAGCTTTGAGGAGGAATAATGAGAACGAGACCCAGATGAGCAGCTTTTCTGCATCTCCTTTTCTTCTGAAAAGCGTGCTCGGTACTAGGAGAAAACTATTTCTTACGTCTTGGGTTGGAAAAAACGTTCAATGAGGATATCATCGTAGACAAGCAACAAAAAAGTTCTTGTCTCTCTTCAAGAAACGAAGCTGATTGAGAGACAGACAACGGACTGGGGACAGTGTTCTCGGCACTTGATCACGTGCACGGACGTTAAAAAGGCAAAAGCCCTACAGCCCGTCGGCCCCATGGGGGCCCCTCCCACACCCAGCTGCCCTGGCACACCCTCTTGGCCAGCGAGCGTCCAGACACACACTCGGACGGCGTCGATCTGTGCGCCTTTGCTGCAGGCCACCTCCCCCCACGCCCCCCTTTCGGTGCCCAGATCGGTCTGAGCTCGCTGGTGGTCCCCTGCCCTGGCCAGCGACGATGGGTGTGGTGGGTGCGGTGGGAATATGGGGGGGTTAGCTGAGGGGCTGGGACCAGAGAGGAGTGCTGTGGAAGAGGCCAGGCTGGGGGGACACCACCACACCCTCTCTGGCCCTCGTAGAGCCTGGTGCGAGAGGCTGGCCACCCCCCTGGCCCGCTGGGACCTCCATCTCCACGGTGGCGTCCTTCCGGTGCACATGCTGCGGCACCGTGCAGGCACTCCAGGGGCCACAGCCGTGGGGGGTGGGGGGTGGGGGGCGAGAAGTCCGAACTCCAGGACAGCCCTCGACTGAGAGGGGGCCGGGAGGAGCCGAGGCCTTGCCCCCATCCTCGGAGGGGAGCTGGAGCCAAGCACCCTGTGCTTTCCTTCCAAAGCGGGGGCAGGAGTTGCAAAGAGGAACACCACCAAGGAGAGACGGGCAGTGTGTGTGTCACAGGTGGGCACAGGCAACCAGGCTCTCGGCGGTCGAGAACAATGAACTGAACCACGCACACACGGGGTTTGGAGCAGAGAAGAGGGTGCGCAGACTTGTTAAGCAATAGCTCACTCCACAGAACAAGGGAGCGGGCTGACTCCAAGCAGAGATTGACCCTCAGTGGCCAGAGGCATTCTCTTCCTATAGGGTGGGTATTTCCTGGCCAGTTTCGGCGTGCTTGTACTTGGCAAGTAGTCACCGCACATGTGGCCTCCCACGATGTGCCCTGACTGGCCACCAGGGCTGGGAGGCTGCTCCCACGAGGCTGACTTATTATAATGCCACTACAGTGAAGCAGGGGTCGGGTAGCACCTTCTGCACACGTGCAGTGGTGAGTCACCGTGACTCGGTGCTTTTCCAGGAAGCAGGGGCAACCGTCTCAGAACAGGGTCTCAGCCCTGGGGCCCCCCCGGAGTCTCCTCCTCCTCCCTCCTGCCTCACACGGACGGTGCACAGCCCACCAGGAACCCGAGCAGCACAGACCCAAAGGGGGCTCCTCCTTGACCAGCAGGTTGCAAACTTAAAACTACTTGGATGCTGGTGCATCGGTCAGCGGGCACCTCGCTGACGCTGCGTGACACACCGTGGCCCTGAGAGCCTCGGCAGCAGGCCACCGTCCTCCAGCCCGTGGCCCGTGGGCAGCTGCGGCCCTGCCGTGGCTGTTTTGGGGCCGTGTCTGTTCTGGGCTCAGGCAGCCACCACCAGCACACGCTCTTTCCAGGGAGGGTGGCGGGGCGCCGTGTGCACATCGCACACCCGGGAGCCCCTCACATCTCCAAGGCCGAGGCCGAGGGGAAAGCAGCAGCCACGTCCACTCTCCCACGGGGAGCCTTTCCCAGGGCTGCCACATCCTCGTGGACCACGCAGACGCCCACCGGGTGACGGCGCACAGTGGCCACGCCAAGAAGCCGCCGGGTCCGAGTCACTCCCTGAGCCCCCGGCCCTAAGACAGGGTGCCCGGGGCACTGACCGCCCGCGGCCCGAGGGAGGGTGTCAGTGAGCGGGGGAGGGGGCCCCGGGTCTCCATCCAGCATCCAGTCCCGGCCACAGTGCCCGCCCCTCTCACCCCTCCCGGGGGCAGGAGCCCCACTGTGCAGGGGGCAGGCATCAGCCTCGGGGACAATGAGCCAGGGGCGTCGCCATAGTTACGCTCCGGAATGCCGTTCCCCTGAGGCTTCGTTGTCACCAATGTTTACTTTCTTCCAAGTGTGCTGTGTTTTTCCATAACCCCCACCCTAACCTGACGTTCGGTGTAGACAGTGTCCACATCTCACAGGGTCAAGTTCTCAGGACACTTGGTGAGGGGACCCTGGAGAAAGGGCAGCTGTGTGGACACCCGTGAGAAGTATCTGGGGGCCCCATCCCAAGGGGACAGGGGAATCTCAGAACCGCCAGCCCTGAAGGTGACCCAGGTCCTGGGGTGTTGGCACAGGCGGTGAGGGGCTGGGCGCAGGGCACGGAGCCCGTAATGACAGGCCACAGCTGCAAGCCGGGCACAGGGCGAGGCCTGGGTTGGAGGCGCAGGCTCAGCCTTTGGTAAGCAACCCACGAGCTTGCAGGAGGGCCCCATGGGAGCGGCCAGCACGGGAGAGAAAGGGTCCAAACGCCTGCCAGGGCCAGGGAGGAGGCACCTGCAGCTTTTAGTCCGTGTCAGGGAGAACACAGCTCCTCTCCTGGCTGGCCTGTCTCCCGCACCAGCACCACCCACCCTTCGCCCCCCGCCCAGGCTGTGCACCCAGGAGACCTGGCTCACTCACCCTGAAGCACCATCAGGGCCAGGCGCTTGTCCGGCCCCTTCCTGTCCTTCTACCCCCACCAAGAGCCTGCCTTGGACCCCCGAGTCCCACCTGCTTCCCCTGCCCCAAGGCTGGGGGCCTCCAGTCAGCTCCTGGCTATCAGTGTCCCCTCTCTGACCCTCCAAGACTGGGGACAGGGATGGGGAGATGAGGGAGGGCGGGAGCCCTTGGGTGGCCTGAGACCCAGGGTACTGCTGCCGAGGAGGGTGGGCTCTGTGAGAGGACAGGGGGCTTCCTGGCAGCCCCCAGGGGAGGCAAACGTCTCTCTCCCCCCTCCATCCTATGGGGGCGGGGCAGCGGGGTGGCCCTGCACCCAGGGCAAACGCCACTCCAGGACAGAGGCCCGCTGACCCTCACCTGCGGTGCGTCCCTGGGCCGGGGCATCGCGCAGAGGAGGGGCCTGGACGGCGGACGGCTGCGTCACCCACCACAGGCGGCCCAGGCGGCCCAGGGGGCTGTGCGCCACGGGCTCTCGGCCAGCACACAGACCCTCCCCCTTGCTCACCCGCCCCGCACCCCGAGGGCACAGTGTGGGCGCTGGCCGGGCAGGTCTCCACCAGGACGCCCCCTGCTCCCTCCACACTCCTCCCTCCGTGAGGGTCGGCCCTGCTCCACCTCCAAGGGGAGCATGCTCTCTCCCTACAGCCGCCCACGCCTCGGGCGTCGTCCGCACCCCTCGCCCCCGGGTCCAGGAAGGAGGAGTGCCAAGGCCAGGCCCGGGGCCCTTCGCCGCCACCGGCTCTGCTAGGCTGGGGGCGCACATGGACGAAGCCCACGGTGGGGGTTTCTGAGGTCAGCAGCCAGGGGCCCTGTGGACGGAGCCCCGTGAAACCAGGGCCCAGGCCTAGACGGAGCACGGAGAAGCCAGGGGTGGAGTCGGGGGCAGGCGGTCCCCCTGCCAGCAGGGCCAGACCGAAGGACACAGGGTCACCACCAAGCCTGCTCTGCCGCCTGCTTCCTGGGGGGGCCTTGCTCCTGGGCCGGGCTGCCTCCACCAGACCAGCCGCTCCTCACCCCCCGGGCTCTGCCGGCCCCTGAGCAGGACCGTGTGGGTGGCCTGGGCAAGGGGCTGGGAGGGGCTCCTGTCCACAGACAGGAGTGCACCCTCTGTCGGGGGGGTGAGCCCCAGGACCACCAGCTGGCCGCATGCCACGGAGGACCCCTGAGGCAGCAGGCCCTGCACCTGGCTTTGGCCAGAGCCAGCTGCGACCTGACCCCAGGGCCTGAGTCAGGAGCAGGGCCAGAGCCCAGCCCTCGCAGGCCCCAGAGCAGGCGAGCTGGGAAGACAGCACCGGGGGCAATGCCCCACCCTCCGCCAGCACCTCAGACCCACCTGTGTGACCCACCTCCCACTCGCTCCGGGTCTGAGTCCCACGGCTGCTGCAGACTCCACACTGAAACAAGGGTGTATCGCCCGACTTCCCAGGCCACGTGCTGCAGGGCACACCCGTCTGCCCACGTCTGCACGGGGGTGGGGGGGACCCCAGCCCTGCAGGGCCTGAGGGGAAGCCCCTCCCTCAGGCAGCAGTCGCTGCTCCGGAAACTTCACAGCGACCCACTTGCCCCAGAGGAATAAGCAAGACACCCCCGTAGGGCTCACCCCAGCGACTGCCCATGGGGGCAGCCAGTGCACCCACTGCACCCCCCACCCGGGGAGTGGGCACGGCCTTCGGAGCCTGCACCTTCGGGTGCTGGGTGGTGCGCTGCGTGGCAGTGGGGCTGGTGAAGCCAGCCGAGCCACCCCAGTCCTCCTGGGGGTCAGGGAGGAGGCGGAGCGGCGGCCTGGGGCTGCGCTCACTCCTGGTCTGCCCGGTCAGTGGGGTCAAGGTCAGGGGACGTGTACCTGGCGTCGCCGGCCTCCGTACAGCAGCGTGGTCACTGCAGGAGCCCCACGGGCCACCAGGCCCCAAACTCTTCCTCTGGGCCCTCCGGGCCCACAACCCAG